TGATAAATGTAATAAGAAAGAAAAGGGACAGTTTCACCTAGAATATATAAGTAAATACATTAATGAAATAGTATGACATTTCTTCCTATCTATCTATCTATATATATATATATCTTAATATATTATTATATAATATAATATAATATATATATATGTATATATATTATGTATATATATATATATATTTATAGAAATAAGTATAGATATAAGAATAGATATAGTCACACAAGCATAAGTACATTTTATTGTTTATAGATTGTAAATAACACTCCAGATGAAATGCATTTGAAATTTGAAGTCAGTTATTCATGTAATTTTCACTGTGTACTTATTGCATTTCATATGTAATTTGTAATTTATAATTTTTTTTTTAACTGATATGATTTCCATTTTGCAGTATCATGACATTATTTATTAATAGTTTATAGAGTTGACAGGTGTCTTTTTTTAAACAAAGGATGTTTACTATTATACTGATATAGAAAAGAAATGAATTGATAGATCAGAAAAAGTACTAGATGTAATAATTTTACAGATATTCATGTTTTTATTCATGATGTTAGATCTGTTCATCACATGTGTCCTTCATTCTTGATAATGATTGCTGCAATTATGATTTTATTGTTATTGTACAAATTTGTAATATAGTACAGATTATTATTTTTCATTCTGCCTATGGGAATATCTAGTGCAATTCAATATTGTAGTTGATATTGTTTTTGAGTACATATAACTTGTTTTAAGTCTAGCTTTTAAGATATAGCACAATTACTAGCTTTATTAATAGTTATTGAATGAATATATCCAGTTGTTACAACAGATTCAGATTCACACAAACATACACTATTGAATCTCTGAAGAGTTGTTGATGAAATGGTTTTATTGTAGGAAACTGAATTGATGCTTCCTCCCAGGCTCTCATTAATGAAATATAGAGGAAGAAAACAAGTTGAATGTACTCAAATTGTAAGTGTAAGCTGAGATTGCCTTGCTAATAATTTTCATCTCTTGGCAGGTACCCGAGATAACAGCCCTAGAGGAGCAGGTTTATGTGCTTTATCGACAGAGAGCCCAAAAACTGGTTCAACGCAGAAGGCAAGACATTAGAGATCAAAACGATGAATTTTCACCGTTTGCAGGTAAATAGCTTTTTGGGTGATGTTTCCCTTACATAAAATTTTGTCATAGAGAGATAATAGCTTGAAGTTAGCTGACTAGAATAAAACTAATATTTTGAAGCATTTGATAGATTTAAAATACTATTTTGAAGTTCAAGAGGTCTGGTATGAAAATATCTTAGAAAGAAAGTAGACTGCAATCAGAAATCTTGACTGAATTTACTGAAATGTTAGCACTTGTACAGTCCATCCAAGACCAGAGAAGACATAGATAAGAGGAAGGCATATGATTTTCAGCACCAATCTGCAGTTTTATGTCGTCATACTGTCTCAAATTATTAACTGGAGAATAGAATTAGCTAATGCCCATAAATGCTGTGTTGTTGGCACACATTGACAATTTCCCCTTTTTGCACCTGGCTTGTTTGAAACTTCACATACATTAGATGCCTAATAGCTTATACATGTATTTTATTAAAAAGGAAAATGCCTGTGTCTAATAGTGATGCCAATAAGTGATGTTACTATTGTTGTAGAAATATTAGCTCTGCCCAATGAGCTGATGGTGTAGGGTGTTTCCACAGCTATTGCATATCATGCCATCCATGACTAAAGGGTTAATGGTAGTAAAAGAGCAAGAGACCAATGGAACTAGATCAGCACTATACAGGAGTCTGACAAGTGTGTCGTTAACCCATTTACAATGGGTGTCCCAAATGTGAGACATCTAGGGGGAAAAAAATTACCGAGTGTCCCATCAGTGTGGCACTGTATCGGGGCTCATGTTCCAACTTAGCAGCGGGCTATGGCCGGCACGCAGGCAGAGTACAGGCCAACCCCATGCGCCGATTTTGTAGCTGCCTGGAAACTTATTTTCGTCTTCAAAATATACCAGCGTTATTGGGTTAAGCAAGAGGCAAACGTTCATGGTGTCAGCAGAGTGGGACTATATCCCAGAGAGCCCATCTGAAATGAGCATAAGGAGAGACTGGCTTAGACTTGTAGATCCTTGGTAAATATAGGGCTGCTTCATATGATATTACTAACACTCATTAGGAAGCAGAGTGTGCCACTCTCAGCCATCAGAATACAGCTGAGGGTAAATAATCTTTGCTCTGGCCAGATCTGCCACATCCAAGCAAGGAATGGTGGAGGCACTAATGGCATGAAATATGTCGATGCTCACCTAGCATGTTCAGGGACACATCATGACTTACTAGCTTTGTGACATCATCAAGCATAAGTCAAGTTTTGGTATCTTGTAGGGCCACACCTGTTAGGCCAGGCTACTTTGTAGGGGTACATACTTAATTGATTGGATCTGGTTGATGTAAACATTTTGTCATGAAAAAAAATTGGCTGAGGGATGGCTGATGAATGTCTGTTCATTGAAGAATTTGGCTGACTGACAAGTAAAAGGAACATTTTGGCCATGGAAAATTGTTGGTGAGTGGCAAGTGATGGGAGATGAGGACATCACAAGATGCACAAATTACTTGAAGGGAGATCGATCACAAGCTTTTGCAGGATATCTACTGGTCCATCCATGAGCCATGCATAGGAGAGGGCCATCCTCGGGGAGGACACCATTTCCTGTTGCTGCCCAGCTTGTGCAGGATGTTATGTAAATTTGAAAAGTGAAAAAATATTTTTTGAATAACAGATAACACTAAGTTAATTATTCTTACTGTTATTAGACAGTCTAAATATATCTACAGAAAAAAGCTTATAGTATTATAAATAGGAGGCAAGGAGTCTTGATGCTAAGTGTGTATTTGTGGGGCAGGCTTACAAGCCACACACCTTAGAGAATTGTCACTCAAGGAAACCTAATGTCCAGATTTTGGGCTATCCATGAGCTGCAAAATACCTGGATTCAATAGGTTAACTGGTTTATGATACTGCATGGCCGGAAATTTATGAGAGACCATCTACTGAATGAAGGGGTCATCACAACTAGTTGGCTATGAGAGGTGGTAGCAACATAGGTGAGTAAGGGGCCAGGTTACCTTTTAAGGGCCCAGCATAACTGACTAACTTGCAGATGGTTACATGGCATGGAGTAGACATGAGCCCGCTTTCCTAACGTAGAGGTGTATCATTACTAATTAGCACTAGAAGGTCAGCAATGGGGTAGATGAGTCTAGGGCCAGGCTACGTAGTAGGGGCACTTGGAACAAAGATAGCTACACTGCCACAGGATAGGCAATAAGCTAACAGGAAGGAATCTTGGATATGCCGTGCAGCTACTATGGTTGCAGAAAGTCAGCTCAGTTAAAATTTTTGATATACATCTAATTGACCACTATGATTTTCACAATAGGCCTTGGAGGGACCAGAAAATATGCAATTGTTATTTTTGTTTTAAGATCATCCATGAAAAAAATAATAGGAATGTAATAGGCATTAGGAATAAATCATGTCATGGTAAGGCATGATGACAAATACTATACAGTGTATTTAACAGGATTCATCATATATTAAACTTTTTTATTTAATTTGTCTTTTTGGATTTCATGATACTGTGGTAGATATATTGTAAGATAGAAAATGTTAATATAACTATAGAATGTATACATATGTTGTAAATAAATAAGTAATTTGTATTTGAAAAGGACAAAAATATAGTAGTGTCTGTGAAAGATATGTGAGGATGTAGGCAAAAATAGGATAGTATCCTTGAAATAATATCCCTGAAAAGTTGTGTAGGGAAATCAGAGGGCACCTAGTTATATTCAAAATTATGGAAACTCAATAATGGTAATCTTTTATATATATATATATATATATATATATATAAAAGATTACCATTATTGAGTTTCCATAATTTTGAATATAACTAGGTGTCCTCTGATTTCCCTACACAACTTTTCAGGGATATTATTTCAAGGATACTATCCTATTTTTGCCTACATCCTCACATATCTTTCACCGACACTACTATATTTTTGTCCTTTTCAAATACAAATTACTTATTTATTTACAACATATGTATACATTCTATAGTTATATTAACATTTTCTATCTTACAATATATCTACCACAGTATCATGAAATCCAAAAAGACAAATTAAATAAACGTAATAACTTCGTATAGCATACATTATACGAAGTTATACGATATATATATATATATATATACATATACATATACATATATATATATATATATATATATATATAAAAGATTACCATTATTGAGTTTCCATAATTTAGAATATAACTAGGTGCCCTCTGATTTCCCTACACAACTTTTCAGGGATATTATTTCAAGGATACTATCCTATTTTTGCCTACATCCTCACATATCTTTCACAGACACTACTATATTTTTGTCCTTTTCAAATACAAATTACTTATTTATTTACAACATATGTATACATTCTATAGTTATATTAACATTTTCTATCTTACAATATATCTACCACAGTATCATGAAATCCAAAAAGACAAATTAAATAAACGTAATAACTTCGTATAGCATACATTATACGAAGTTATACGATATATATATATATATATAAAAGATTACCATTATTGAGTTTCCATAATTTTGAATATAACTAGGTGCCCTCTGATTTCCCTACACAACTTTTCAGGGATATTATTTGAAGGATACTATCCTATTTTTGCCTACATCCTCACATATCTTTCACAGACACTACTATATTTTTGTCCTTTTCAAATACAAATTACTTATTTATTTACAACATATGTATACATTCTATAGTTATATTAACATTTTCTATCTTACAATATATCTACCACAGTATCATGAAATCCAAAAAGACAAATTAAATAAACGTAATAACTTCGTATAGCATACATTATACGAAGTTATACGATATATATATATATATATATACATATACATATACATATATATATATATATATATATATATATACTTTTGTATTATTCAGTTATCTTTAATACACCCTATGGCACTGGTCACACTGGGCAGGAATAGTATCCTGCAAATGGACAAAGTGTCCTTGTGGGAGCTGGAGCACTACCAGTAATGGCTCACAGATTGTGTATACATTCCATGCTCATTTACTGGTGGATATAATACAAGAGCCCTTTTGTAAATGTTTACGGAGTCTAATCTTCCTCTAAAAGCTTTGTGCACTTATGGCGAGTCATTCCGATCACCCTGGCCTTCAGCCAAATTTTTTATGACAGCGCAAGCCAGTCACTGGCCCTCTGCAAAAAAATTTCATGACTGCAAAATCTGTCACCCGGCCCTCATCCATATTTTTAGTGATGGTCGTGTCACCTAGATCCAATGGGTTAATTGGATACAGTCCTCAAAAATAGGCATAAAACTTAACCCAGTGCCAGTATAATGTTTGTTGTAGTTTTGTTTTATGATTTTTTTTACAAATTCCAGTTAAAAGATAATATAAATCGGCAATAACCAATTGATACTAAATATTCTGCAAACTTTTGTTTAAAGATCCACTCAAACTTTACATGAAATAGCTAGACTGTGCATTATTATCAGAGTTTCAATTGCTTGGTTGATTATATATCTATTAAACACACTAAAGGTTTTTCTATCAGCTTGAATGTCAAAAGTATCTTCAAATATATTTCTAAAAGAAATCTATGTTTGATTTCTACAAACTAGGGAAGAGAAAAGATGTGATAATATATTGAGCTCAATGATTATCTAGGTAAAGGTGCAACAGCTGATGAATACCGAACAAGACGGGCAGCAGAACGTGAAGGCCGCAGAACACGCAGACGAAGAGAACGGGAGAAGAAAGGAGACATAAATCACCATGATGGGATGTCAACCGATGATGAAGAGTCCCAGTCTGAGATACAGATGATGCAGACTGAATTAGGTATAATGTTATTTTGATGATGAGCCAAGTATTTATTAAAAAAAAAAAAAATGTCAATGTGACAACATTCAGTAGTATTTATTAGAACTTTGTTACTATTCAGTGCTACATTTGTTAGTATTTATCTCAACATTTATCAGTGTACATCACAGCAATTAATAGTATTCATTACAACATTAATAGTTGAAAATTTGATTGAATTCATTGTATATTAATCGTATATTGTATTTATCACAGTGTTTATGAATAAGTAAACAGTTTGATTATTTATGTTATTGTAGCTGTGTTTAGTGTTTTCAATTTGAAAAATGAACTGATCCAATTTTATTTACTTCAGAACATATAGCAGCAGAAGCAAGGAAGATTTACGAGGATGTAGAAGAAGATTTTTCACAGTTAAAACGTATAATGGCCAGATTTGAGGAGTGGAGAAAGAAAGATTCCCCTACTTATTCTGATGCTTATGTATCATATAACTTACCAAAAATATTTGCTCCTTATATAAGGTGAGTCTTTCCATTGTGGTCTCTGATCAACCCATTTATTTTGCACTTTTCGAGGCCTTTTTTTTAATCAAATCACATATTGATGGCAATATCACCATTCATGTCATTGATCTATTAGGTTAACTTTTGATGAATACCCTTGAAATAAATATAAATACCCTTAGAATAAACTGACAAGTCTTTTTGTGTGCTGTTCCAGATTGCAGATGCTATTGTGGAATCCTTTAATGAAAGATACCGATGGTTTAGAGATAGAAAGAATGAAGTGGTTTAATCTGCTGCTGCTATATGGAACAGATGATGTTACAGATGATGATCCCAGAAGACTCAGGGAAGATCCAGACCGCAAGCTCATGTCCCATCTGGTGGAAAAAATTGTTCTAGTTAAACTAAAAGGTTTGTTAATTACCCTTGGGTTTGGTTTATTGGCTTGTGCAAAGTAGTTTATGTAAGGCAATGATTTTGTTTTTGTCTGCCTAACTGAAAAGTTCCAGGTCTAGAGCAAATGGTTAGAACAAGGAATAGGTGATGGTAATTGTCTCTGATCATTTCAGAAATAATTGGCTGTTGGTGGGATCCCTTGTCCCATGTGCAGACAGTGAGGCTGGTGAACTTAGTGAGACACTATGCTGAAGCTTATCCTAGCCTTGGCCCAAGCTCAAAACCCCTCAAGGAAATGACTCATGCCATTATTGCGAAGATTAAGGATGCCATTGACAATGATATATTCATCCCAATGTTTCCTAAAAAGTGAGCAATATTTTATTTCATATTATTTTTATTTTCTTCTCCCCCCACATGCCATGATATATTGTATGTAAAGATATAAGTCCTCTTGTGTTAGATATTATGAAACTACATTTTTATATAGATTTGATATGAGGTTCAGTTTTGTATAAAACTTGATATGTGTTACAGTTTTTATAAAACTATTTAAGATAGTGGTAAATGAAATAAAGGTAACTGTTGTTGTAGTGTTCTTATGCAAACATGGATGATGGGCAAAGTAACTGATAAATCTGATACCCTTATTTCTCAACAGTGTTTATGACAACAAGAACTCTGGGGTAAGCTTGTTCTTCCAGCGGCAGTTTTGGCTTGCATGGAAGCTTCTCAGCTCTACGCTTATGTGGCACAAGGTGCTGAGTGACTCTGTAATCCATGACTTGGCTGTTCGCTCTCTCCTCAATCTGTACCTACTACCAGCTCTCAACCTGGCAGCTGAGATAAATCCATCCGATGCCCTTGATAAATGTAGAAATGTGAGTACTGTATACTCTCAAATAAATTATTTGACTGTCATTGTTAGCAATTGTTGAGGTTATGGAAATAAGAGTTTCATAAAGATTTTATGGTTTGATTGCTGATCCTCAGAAAATTTCTATACTTGGGAAAACATTTCTGAATTTTAACCTTTACCTAATCTTTCCATCAGGTAATAAATGCATTACCCCGTGCCTGGGTGAAGAGTGAGGGAACTCATGCCTTCCTTGGCCGCCTTGAAGACTTCTTAGTAAAACTTGCTGAAAAACTTCAAACCGCCCACTCCCCTGCTGTGAAAGAAGTTTGTGATCTCCTAAAATCTATAGGAGCACAGAGCCAAGCTGAGAAATTGGCCTATAAGTACCAGTAAAAGTAGTGCAAGCATTCACTCAGTATATCGAAGCATATCCATGATAGCTTCTCCCACTTTGAATAGTTTGAGGTGACAGCATGACTGAATTCATATTCATATTAAGCACCGTATGAAAATAGCATTCTTGGTACCATTACTTTTGTATTTTTACTGCCATCATTAATTCCTCCCCCTTCTTCTCTTATGAGTGATTCTGGTATTTTATTATTATTATTACTACTACTTTGTTTTAAATTTTAATGTCATGCCATATTCAAATCTCCCTCTCTTCCTCACAAAATATTTATTTTCTGAAATTTTATATATATACTGTATATTTGAAATGCAAAACACATGTTTAGGTACAAAACTTTGTATAGAAATATTTGAGTAAATTGATTATTGGAAATTTGTTAGTATACAAATCCATGAATAAGACAGACTTGTTTGAGTATTATTGCTTAGAGTTTGAGGCTATGAACAAATGGAGATTTTGCTCATGTACATTTCTCAATCTTTTTCCCAGTGAGATTATTTAGAATCTTTGCATTACCCTCCAAATATTATATAATTTTGTCATTATATCATGTCAGTGTGCCACAAATGGTGTACATAGATTCATTGATCTCAGTCACATCAAATATACCAATTCACAGTGCATCAACATGTTTTACAAGGGGAAAAGTGGATATTCTGAGATGTTAAAGTAATATCCAAGTGGTTTTATTTTTTGTATTAAAGTTATGCTATGGTTTTATGAGGATTTTTTTTAAGGGCATCCTTATGTAGCAGTCCTAGTAGTATATACCCTGAAGTGCAAGATTGAAACATATAATAGAATGCAACACTGTGACAGAAAATCACATCTTTGATTTTTACCATACCACTATCTTATTAAAAATAGAGCAGCCAAAATTTGAGCTAACTTGGTAAGATTTACTTCAGCCAACTGTTTAACCCAAAGAAAAAATAACAATTTGAATTTGTGTTTTCAGATTTAATGGCACTTCTTTGTATGAGAGAATGGGAATACTTTCTTTTCTTTTTTTGAGTCATGGTCACACAAGATTGGTTTGAATACATTTTGATGAAGAAAAAAAGTTATAGTTGACCTTCTAGATATGAACAGTTGTCCAGAGAGATGTTACAGAGGGTAGGTAAGAGGAGAATATTTAATAGATAAATTTATCATGAACATAGAGAATGGTTGATATAAGATATTGTAGCACATGCACTTATTAAGTTATTTTCAGGGCAGTATTCAATTTTTTGTTGTTGATTATCTGCAAGAGGGAAAGGATTTTAATTCATAATTAATTGGGGAAAAAGCAAAGTAATGTTAGAAATAAAGCCTAAGAAGGAAACACAGTTTGTTAAAATAGTTCAATTTGTTATAATGTATATGTGCTCTGTGATGGTTTGCTAATAAATTATTAATTTATCTAGTAAAATTACTGGCTGACGAGGAAGAAATATAGTAATGAAGGCTTGTAAAGGGCAGAGTCTAAGTCAAACAAGATTGACACTTGACGTAACAGTGCAGTGCAAAATATGCCTTCATATTATTTCCCCTTATTTATAGTGCAAACACCATCAAATTTCCATATATGTTTTTATTGGTTGTAATCTTTGTTAGTGCTGTTGATTAGGAATTTATTTTATAAACCATAAGTTTTCTTGCAGCTTCCTTTAAAATTTGACTTCTGATAGAAGAAATCAGGAATTATGAGTCAGAAATCATGTTTAAGTTATTTAATATCCCGCGAGACACATAGTATGTGCTACAGCACATCTAATAGTTTCATTCAAAAGACATTATATTTTGACTGGTAATTTTTAGCTAAAAATTTCAGTTAGCCATTTCACTTAAGGTTGTGCATGTCAACATTTTCCATTTGCCAATTTTCACTCTGCAGCCAGGCTGTAAAGAGGGGTTTTCACATAAACCCACAGAGACTTATTAAAAACCTACCACATGTTAGAGAGGTAAGTGTATAGTGCATGACAAAGATTCTGAAGGCTTGTTTAAAAATAATTTCTCTGACATGATCTCTTTTCATATGAGTACACATTCTATACACATATGTGTTCATATGAATATGTTTATATATATATATATATATATATATATATATATATATA